GACAGTCCGGCGTCCAAATTATCATGCGCACCGACCGTTTTTTCACCATTGTCGGCTTAGAAATTAGGAGTAGGGTTTATGTCATATAGCCATCCAGTTTAATATCAAAGTCGGTGGTAAGGCTTCGGTCTGTGGAGCCAAAACCATTTAATTTTTCTAAAATGTGTTTTGACAAGAAGATATACAGGGTGTTTCAAAAAGGTATGTCATAAATTCTTCCACAGATAGATTATCAAAAAATAGGTGGATTTGGCTATATTTACCTATATCAAAAACTGGCTTCTAACAAAGTTACAGGGTGTTAAACTAACATTCAAAAAAATGTTTTTTTTTGTAAAAAGTTTGCTGTTCTCCAAAAGTTTACAAACACCACTTTTGACACCTATCAGAATCGAAATGTTAAATGTGTCAAAGTAAAAAATTGTCTCAAAAATAGTATACCAGTATTGACACTAGTAGTGTCAAAACAAAAAGCTCGCAACTTTATCAGTTAAATTCCATTCCTGCAGCAATTTAAATATCACTTCAGTCTCATGAAAACCAGTTGCTTTATACAATTTAGGTACTCCTAATATCTGCTCACAATTCAGACCCGTAATAATTACTGGTAGTCTTTCAACCTTTGTGGAGCCAGTCATTTCTGGCAGAAGCTTCCCGTCCCAATGGACAGTTATCGTATCTGGTGCTTTGAAATTTTGCTTGAAATATTCTCCAATGTCTTTCCTATTTATGCCTACGAACTGTAATTGGACAAAGATTAACGGTTTCGAGAGGAATCCCGCAACTTTCCACTGTAGCTGCCATAATAATCATTGCATCTCTATCTAATCCATTTGTTCTATCCAGTGCAGAAGTTACTTGAGGTGTCAAAATATTTAGTTTTTGAGGTGCCGAACTCGTAAGAAGTTCATCTTCAAAATTTGAAGGCATTCGTTGTAAAGAATGTGAACTGTGAGTGCGTGATTCGAATGAGATTGTACAGCTCGACAAAGATTTACTCAATTCTATAAAAACATAGCGTAAAGTGTCAATAAAATACAAAAAAAAATAAAATTAAATCAAATTACCTTCCACTGATTCTTCAGAGTCAGAATACGGTTCTTCTGAGTCAAATGGTATAACACCTCGGCGTGGATTTGTTCGTTCGTCACCCAAAAATGTTTTTTGTTCATCTGTTAAAACAATATTTTTATTTTGACTTGCAATGTCAAATAGTTTTTGAGACAAAAGCTTAAAGTCGTTTTCTTTAACTTTTTGAGCAGACGATTTAGTACGTGATGAATTTTTTTTTCACTTTATTCCATTTATTATATAAACTTCTTAATTTTGCAACACTATTTCGAACTGGCATCAAAGGGATTTTCGTTTTACTCCAAACACTATTCACTTCATCAATAACAATTTTTAATATTTGATTCAGTGGTTTACCGAGAGATTTATAATTGTACATTAATAAACTTAATACTTCCCGATTATTTGGTAGCTTACGATGGGATAAAAATTTACGTTCATAACCAAGTAAATAAATGTTTACAGGAGTTTTTGCTACCCATTTCAGCTAAAAATGAGTCTAATCACTGAGTCGGATTCACTTTAGTATATCTGATCACGTTAACTGACATTTATGACAGAAATAGAAACATAAACAATGAGGTTAAGCCACAATTATCAACAATCAATGCTAGTCAAAACGATTAAAGAGCAAAAACTTCTGTTTACAGTAATGGAAGTATAGACGAAATCAAGATAAGCGCCACCGTGGTTAGAAACTAAAACATTTGAATGTTTGAATATGAACAAATATTTGAATTTTCACATATTTATTATTTTATTATATAATAATTAGTAATTGAAATTTATGTTTATTAAATAATTTTTGAAATTAAAAATCCGAATCACATTACGACTCGACTGTAGCGTCCTAATATTTGTAATAAGTTATTATTAGATGTAAAAATAATAAATTTTAGTTTAAAGAAGATTTGAAATGAAATTAATATTCATCTTTCTAGCTCTATAACTCAAAAACTGTTGGTCGGAGGGGATTTACTCAAAGAAACTTTTTGTAGCTAATTTTATGCCCTACAAAAGCTATACACGGGTTTTTCTTAAAAAAATTTTTTTAATATCGAAAAATCAAATTGAAACAAAAAAAAAATTTCCTATGTTATTTAAATGGGAAATCGAATTTTTAAATGAGCTAAGTCGCTATTGCACTTAGAATTTTTTACCCGGCGGCATAATTTTTTATTTTTTATAAAGTTTCAGATTTGCAGGTAGCACAAAGAAAAAAAAATATTGCCTGAAAATGAAGCACCCTAGTACCCAACCCCCCAACTTTTTTTAAAGGGGTCGCTTTAATTTTTTTTTCTCCTTGGAATATTGGGCCTTGAAATCTACAGCACTGGCAAAAATTTCAAAGAAAAATTCGCAACAGCAAATTTTTTACAAAAAAAAATCGTTTTTTTGAATGTTAGTTTAACACCCTGTAACTTTGTTAGGAGCCAGTTTTTGATATAGGTAAATATAGCTAAATCCACTTATTTTTAGGTAATCTATCTGTGGAAGAATTTATGACATACCTTTTTGAAACACCCTGTATATCAGAAAAGACTACAATTTAAAAATAATTTTAATTAGGTTTTTTACAATGGGACACTCTTTATTTTTTTTTTTATATTTGAATTGCCCTTGCTTTTCCGATTATAACGATACCAAATAGTATGAAATTATACAGGGTATTTCACACCCTACAACCAGTTTTATATGAAAATCGTACTGATTTCAATGAGCTGTATAGTGCAAAAGAAACAATTGAAAGCCAATTTTTTTTCTGTAAAAGGTTTTCAATATTAGTCAAAATTTATGCCAACGTACTACTTTTTTTAATTAGAAATAAATCTGTCAAAACTCAAATATATCATTTTCTCATTTTTTTAAATTGATCATATCACCATTTAATAGTTTTTAAAGTTAACTGACAAAAAAAAATAACTTTGTTCGCGGCAAGAATCGTGAACCAAATTATTACTAATAGTAACTATTTCGCAGGCGCAGTAGTTAAAAAGCGTTCGCGGAACAAAAAGAACTGAACTATTGGTTCTATCCTGCGTTCGCGGTAAAATTATTATTGGTTTTGAATCGCTTGTCTATACCTGAAACACCGAGATATAATATGAATTGTTCGCGCAGTAAAAATTCAGAATTGATAATGAATCAGGCATGCGCTCAAAGTATGAATTAGTAATTCTGAATCAATTCAGGATTTTTACCGCGAACGAAGCTATTAATTCACAAAATATGTAGTTTAATTTCAACTCGTAGCTGGTTAACAGAACATAGACCTGTTAATTAGTGATTAGAGTTTGTAATTTATTATCGACTAAAGAAGTTTTAGACAATTTCTAATAAGACTAACATTTAGTTAAAAATAACTACCAATAGCACACAATTCTAGACTCACTCTATTGTAATACCTACTTTATTCTAAGTTTTTATAATTTTAAGTTGACTTTGAAACCTCAATACTGATAGTTCGTTATAACTAACGTCATTAGTGTTGCAATATTTTTTTTAAAAAGGCTAGGCAGTTTTTTAATATGACCTTTAGTCGTAAATAAGTATTTCGAGTTTTACCCAAAAAATGCTTAGAAATGTGAGTTGGACCTTTGAAAACCACCTTGTTATTAAATAAAATCTGCCAAAATAATAAACTTTGAATAAAATAGGTACTATGTAAAGTTTTCGGTTCCTATTTTTATTTATTTTTTTAGGGAATGTAAAAGTCGCATTAGGTATTGTCAAAAACCTATTAAGTCGATAATAAATTATGGCTGGTTAAATTCTAATTACCAATTAACAAACAGTCTATTTCCTATTAACCAGTCACCAATTAAAATTAAAGTATTTTGTGAATAATTTTTTTCCTCATTTAAAAAATCTCTCAATATTAATAACTTTAGGTATAGGGAATGCTTGACTTAATGGAAACTTTATTTTAGGGACTTTTAAATGGTGATATAAAATACCGGGTGGTCATTTAAAAAAAAAAGTGAGAAAATGATGTATTTGGGTTTTGACTGACCCAGTAGAGGTTTGTTTCTAATTGAAAAAAGTAGTGCATCGGTATAAATGTTTACTAATATCGAAAACCTTTCATCGCAAAAAATTGGTTTTCAATTGTTTCTTTTGCACTATGCAGGTCATTGAAATCAATCATATAAAACTGGTTATAGCGTGTAAAATATCCCATATAATCTCATACTATTTGATATTGTTTTAATGGACGAAGTTTCTTGGAGAAACCTGTATAATTAAAATTATTTTTAAATTGTTGCATTTTCTGATATACATCTTGCCGTGAAAACAGATTTTAAAAACATGGTGGTCCACCCTGTATATGTGACACATTTTATGAATTTATTCACAAATATAAAACCATTTTTATCGTGTAAAAATAAATGAATAAATTTATGCAGAAATTGATTATTTGGCAATCGAATTTTGGGACACTCAGTATATTCATATTTCATTTGTAACTTATGTGTAAGTATTTGCTAGTGTAACATTAGTAAAGACGCTTGGATGAATTTGAACAGACCACCATTCGTCCCGACCCTATTTTATGCGTAATCTGCAATCTGGTATTTTTCCTAGCCCCCGAACGACATTCCCTAATTATTAATAAAGAATATTATTGCAAGGAAGCACTTTATAATTTCAATGACTAATCTATATGTAATAAAAAATAACAGCATCCGTTTTTATTTATAAACAAGTTTTACTTAAGTAATGTATTTTAGGACATCCTCTATACCTATTATATAAATCATGTAGTATTCTGTTACAGGGACTTTGTTCACATTGTAAAACTCCTATTAACAAATTATATATTTTCTTTATATCTATTTGCTTTAGTTTATCAGTAATGGCTTGTGATTGTAAACTCTTCGTATTGGAATTTACTACTAGGGATATTTTCATTTTAATTTTGGTTACAGGGGTAGTGGAAGCAGCAGTAACGCTTCTTTGGATAAGGAAAAGGTTTCGGGAGATTCTAGCCCCTTAGTCGAGTGTAAGGAAATGACAGTGATTGTTCGAGAAGGGACGTTGCATTGTAAGATTTTGGAGATTGACGGCAAGGTAAGATTTTCAATTACGTATTACTTACTTACTGTATCTATTTCTTTATGGCGTTGACTAAAACAAGTTAAATTATTTAGATTTATAGGGCGCAGAGAGAGAGGTTGATGTTCAAATAATCTAAAGTATTCTTTTCTTCTTTTATTTATAATTGTTTATAAATAAGTATCGTTTAGTGGAAACTAAAACCAACGATTCTTTTATTTTAATAATTAAATCTTATTTTCTAAACATTTTAATACATTTTATAAAAGTATCAAATTTTTACATTGTTTTTTTTTTAATTCTTAACTCTTAAGTACTCAAAATCGTATCAAATAAATTCGGCAGACGCTAAATTTGTGATACCCACCTTATCAAGACTGATGCCCACGGGCAAACGCGCAGCATAAAAGAAACATATTTGATTTTGAACAAAAAACGTTGAATTTTCAGATTTGTGAAGCATTGATGTTACTTAGGCTAAACCACATTAAAGGATCTTTAATAACATTGCTAGCCCTGGTTTTTAAGAACCATTACATGTTGCCTTTTGATTATGGTTTACAAATTGTTTGAATAATTTATGTAAAAATATTTGAGGGCATTATTTGGTCCCTCTACTCCATATGTCTGCCTAAGTAAAAATATTTGGCGCCTTTTCCTCTTAAGCCTGTACGTATAAAAATATTTGGTCCTTTTAACTCTTACGCCTGTCTATGTAATAATATTTGGCCTATTTATACCTCAAGCCTTTCCATGTAAAAATAGTTGGTCTCTTCATCCTTTAAGTCTCCCATATCAAAATATTAAGGATATCTACAATATCTACATCAATGGTAACCTATTGCCTTCAGTTTTATACGAGATTATATTATTTATAATCAAAAACCGCATATACTATGTAATGGTGTGTGGATAGATATTATATAGTCTAGTTAACAAGTGCTTTTTTGGGTCAAACTTTTTTCTCCGCTTCCGAAAAATATGAAAGAGGTGTTATTCGATTCGGAATAGCGTGTAGATGATTTTTGAAAAAATTCAAGAGCCGCTTGCAAAAATTGTAAAAGTTATAAACAATTAACAGAAAAAAAATTGGGTTTGGTTTTTTGAAATTATCTCAAAAACTATTTGACATGTTCGATATTTAAAAAAAAAAAAATCAATAGAGGAGGAAATTTCCCAAAAAAGTCCTATCGCCCGAAACTGTAGAACCAATATTTATAATTTTCCCAGAGGGTTGAAAAAAGACTCTGGTTTGCGTAAGCTTCGCCCACTGTGGACCTTTAATGAGTATTATTTAAACTTATTAAATATGAAAATTACGAATTGAAAAAATTCAAGCATCTACTAGATAGATGAATGAACAATAAACCGCGGTCAAAAAATTTTTATCGCGATTTTCTATTAACTATGCATTAGTTAATTAATAATTTTTTTCTACTTGAACATTAACATTGCAAGTGCGATAATTGTTAAATAACAAATCTGAGATTTTTTTTCTTTTTTGGAGCAATTTTTGAACGGTCTCATAAGAGATTCTCGTTGAAAAAAATGTTTTTTTACTTTGTTATTAACAATTTACTTAGGTTAAAAATAAAAAAGCTTGATTAATCATTGAAAAAAAAATATATGTATATATTGATCCATTTTTTATCATCAGAAGCCACATGAAAATTATTTCTAAAATTTTTTATTTCCTATTGTTTAAAAAATTGTTATAAACAAATGCGTTGTTTATAAGATAATTTAATTTTTTTTTTTCGGAAACGTAATCTTTGATGCAAATCATGATTAAAAAAATCGTTCATTAAAAAAAAAATTTATTGATTAAAAACGGTTTTGTTAATTAACAATTTTTTTTACCATTTGAATTATTATTAAGGAACCATTTTTTTTAAACATAATGTATCTTGCTCTTTGATAACTAAAAAAAAAATTGTTTTCATTTAAATTTTCATTTTTTATTTAATAAACAATTTGTTATAAACAATTACATTTTGGGCGTAATTTGTTCTTTAATTAATAAAGAATAAATAAGTGTTTTCATCGTATCTTAATTAGTTTATACAGTATGGTTCAAATGAAAGGAAAAAATTCATTATTATCAATTTTTTAAATAGAATTCAATTTTCCCCCACTTTATATTTTTGGACAGTGACGTCATTGACAATTTTTTTAAATAGTAACCCCAATTTATTTTTCTTGATTTTGATAGATCTTGCAATTTCTTACTCGGAAACATAATATTTGAAATATCTTACATAACAATTTTTTTTTGAATAAAAGACATTTAAAGATCATACACATAAATTTTATTTTATTTTGAGAACACAATAAATGAATAAAAGATAATTATTTGTTATTAAGTGCTTAATCTAACAAAATAATTAATAATAATAATAAAAATAATAATAAAAAGAATTTGTGAAATTGTCATTAAATTCTTTTTATTATTATTATTTTTTTAGATAAGCACTTAATTACAAATAATCTTTTATTCATTTATTGTGTTTCAAAATAAAATAAAATTTATGTATCTGATCTTTAAATGACTTTTATTCAAAAAAAATTGTTATGTCAGATATTTCAAATATTATGTTTCCGAGAAAAAAAAATTGGGGTTACTATTTAAAAAAATTGTCAATGACGTCACTGCCCAAAAATGGGAAGTGGGAGAAAATTTCATTCTATTTAAAAAATTGCGCTTTTAGTAAACAAAATTGACCTGTCCGAGCATTTTTTCTAAAAACCATCTACTTCCATTATAATGAATTCATTCCTTTCATTTGAACCATACTGTATAAACTAATTAAGATACGATGAAAAAACTTAAGACTTATTTATTCTTTATTAATTAAAGAACAAATTACGCCCAAAATGTAATTGTTTATAACAAATTGTTTATTAAATAAACAATGAAAACAATTTTTTTTTTAGTTATCAAAGAGCAAGATAAATTATTTTCAAAAAAAAAAGGTTCCTTAATAACAATTACAAGTGGTAAAAAAATTGTTAATCCGTTTTTAAGCAATAAAAATTTTTTTAAGGAACGATTTTTTTAAAAAATTATAAATTGCATCAAAGATTACGTTATAAAAAAAAATTAAATTATCTTATAAACAACGCATTTGTTTATAACATTTTTTAAACAATAGGAAATAAAAATGTTTAAAATCATTTTCATGTGGCTTCTGATAATAAAAAAGATCAATAGTAATATACAAATTTTTTTCAATGATTAATCAAGCTTTTTAATTTTTAACCCAAGTAAATTGTTGATAACAAAGTGAAAAATAACAATTTTTTAATTTTTCCAATGAGAATCTCTTCTAAGACCAACAAACAACAAAATCTCAGATTTGTTATTTAACAATTATCGCACTTCCAATATTAATGTTCAAGTAAGAAAAAATTGTTAATTAACTAATGCGTAATTAATAGAAAAATTGCGATAAAAATGTTTTGTCCGCGGATTATTGTTCATTCATCTAACCAGTAGAAGCTTGAATTTTTTCAATTCGTAATTTTCATATTTAATAAGTTTTAATTATATATATTCATTAAAGGTCTACAGTGGGCGAAGCCTACGCAAACCAGTCTCCGTTTTCAGCCAGCCGTATTTTCAACCCTCTGGAAAAATTATAAATATTTGTTCTACAGTTCCGGGTGATAGAACTTTTTTGGGCATATTTCCTCCTCTTTTTGAATCTTTTTTTCAAATTTTGAAAATGTCAAATAGTTTTTGAGATATTTTCTAAAAACCAAACCCAATTTTTTTTTTTCAGTTAATTGTTTATAACTTTTGCAATTTTTGCAAGCGGCTCTTGAATTTTTTTCAAAAATCATCTACACGCTATTCCGAATCGAATGACACCTCGTTCATATTTCTCGGAGGCGGAGAAAAAAGTTTGACCCAAAAAGCACTTGTTAACTAGACTAATAATTTGCTGCGGGTTTGGCGATCGTTCTTCGGGCTCTGGTTTTAGATTAAATGTCTTCGGGGACGCCGCGGAACTGAAATAAACGCAGTTAAGGGCTATACTAGGCCATTCGGATCAGCGTGTGAATAATTTGAAATGTGACGAGGTAAAAACATGTCTTTTGTCTATTCATCAACAAAATTAATTTTTCTCCTGGTCAGCATCACTGCATTGTTGGCTACCCTGTATTTTGAATTTAGATTATTTAAATTTTAATATCCTGAAATTTAAAATGATTATTATACAGGGTGCGCCACGCTCAACGGGACGGAGTCTAGTGGATAAAATACAAAATATATTAAAAAATCCTTTTATAACTCAGTGGCGGCTACAATATAAAATTAGTTTTATATATAAAGGATATTCCAAACCAAAATACCAATATAAAGTTATATTTTTTAATTTTTAAGTTTAACTTTTATAAATAATCTTTGTTTAATAAAGATTTATTTGAATTTTTTTCAAAAAGTGGTGTTTTTGAAATTAATTAATTACTCTTGCAGTTCTTTATAAAATATCACTTTTTATCAGATTCATTAAAATATTCAAAAAATGTGTTTGCAATTTGAAGTTTTATTACAGTAAAATGTTTTATTTAATTGCTGCGTTAATTTAAATGGAACAATCTGTATTTTATAGTACCAATAAAAATAAAATTTTATTTACTTTAAAAGTTCTACAAGGTTCCCTATACCCATATCTACTATTTATAGACCTATTATCAATAGTTTCTATGCATCAATAAATTTCAGTAGTTTACTAATAATTTCATATTAAAACATACAGTTATTTATACAGAAATTTTCTAATAAATTAAAAATTTGTAATAATTGTTCTAATTAACACCTAAATTAAAAAAATATCTTTGTTTATTTACATTTTTATAAATCTTCAAATATTACTAACATTCATTTTCATAACCTCAGCGGTTTTCTATGGAAATTCGAGAGACGCTAAAATGGTGGTTCCCACCTTATCTAGACTGAGGCCCACAAGGGTAAACTCGTAGCGTAACAAAAACGAGAAATGATTTAACTTGGAACGAAAGACCGAAAGCCGATAGTAGTATTAGGACGTTGAATTTTTTGGTTTGTGAAGCATTGTCATTAATTAAGTTAAACCATGTGATGATTTTCACAAGCCTTGATTTTTAAAACCATTCTATATCGCCTTTTGATATTAGGGTTTACAAACTTGTTTGAGCAATTTATCCAATAATAATTGGCCCCTTTACCTCTTAAGCCTGCTCATGTAAAATATTTGGGCTCCTTACTTCACCTATTTATATAATATTAATAGAGGACAGAAAGATGAGTATTGCAACTAGGGCTTTCAGTTCAGAATTATGTTCAGTACATGACTGATATTTATTTATAAAATAATAATGACATAGTACCATCGCATCAGATCTATTAGAAAAATTTCAAAAGTAACCTCAAACAATACTTGATAAATAAACAGAACGGATATACTTTCTTGTGATAATACTCTTTATACCTGCCCTTTTTAAGTATTTCCCTTAATTTATTTTTATTTTACCCCTCGTTTTACCCGCATTTATTATAAATTATTTCTGTTTTGAGATCATGTACTTTATTTTAAAAAATTACTTGTTGTTTAAAAAAATACTTGATGTTATATTAATACCACTTGCTATGTTAAAATTATTAATAGTTTTGCGACGATAGGTTATAGCAACTTATACCCTCAAAACTATTTTTTTCTACACCCGTATTATAATAATGCACTTATATGCCCATAATCCGTTTCATAATGATACCCATTATGATACAGATTTTTCATTATGATACAGATTTTTAATCAATAGAAACCTACAATTTTTCAATCAAGCATGATGTTTGACGTTTGTCCTAAATTCCTATGTAATTGTTTTAGTTGTCAAAACGTATTAAATTTTCGTAGATAGCTAAACTTCGATAATTATAATATTAAAATGTCTGATATCAGCGATATAGAACACTCCTCCACACATATAGGAGAAAGGAGAAAATGCAGTACAAAATATTTTGCCCCAAAAATCTGTGGTAATACCAGTACCCAAGGTAATACCATTAATTACAATTTTGTAGAATTTTTTATAGAAATACGAGTAATTACTGTTATTGTGTTCAATACCAATATAAATAGAATATTTATAGGTCTTGATTATTTATCGGGTGTAGAAAAAATAGCGTATGCAACTCTCATGTAATGGTTATTAAAACACTCGCATAAACCATACGAAACTCGCCTTTGGCTCGTTTCGTATCCCGGTTAATGCTCGTGTATTAATAACCATCATTACATGATCGTTGCATAATATACTATTGTGTTAAAGTAGATCCATAGAGAGCAATGTAATTTACAAAGGCCTTTCAACATACAAATAAATGACAACTTTATAATTAAAATAAAAAAACAACAAAATACCTCGGTACCAAGGCAAGAAGATTCATTTTTAAATTTTATTTATTGAGGAAATTTATGACCTGAAGTTTACTAATTATTATTTACAATTCGCTGCGTTGAATATGTAATCCAAAATCGTATAATACATTTTTTTTACAAATAACCAGCATTATATCCTACCTCTCTTTTATATAATAAAAAAGTGCTTTGTATAAGAACATTATATTATCTGTCTTGCTGTACCTTTATTTATGGAAAGCCTGTAGTGAGATACATTACAAATTATTTGCAATAAATATCAAAAGAACTATACATTTTTAAATAATTTGACATTTAAGAGCCATTCACATATCACAGTTGACATCTTGATACTTGACAGGCACAGCCAAGCATTATTCTGATTTTTGCCAAATAAATTGGCCGGTTAATTATTCTATGGGATTGCGACAGAGCCAGTAAATTTGATGAAGGTGTTTTTGTGGCAAAGGTGCGAAATAGTAGTACGCTTAAGTAAGCACCACCATAAAAAAGTCATTTTTAAGAAATTGCTTATATATTTTTCATAAATTGGCAGGCTTGGCTACTAATTTCGAATAAAAATAGCCTCCAAAATGGCATTCATTGCAAGTATGAAGGTCGCAACCCGCCTTAGAAATTTCACCTTTACTATCAACAGCTGTTGTTTGACAGGTCGTTAGAGAATGTTTGCAATTTATGGAATTTTAAGAATGTTAGGAATGTTGACGTAAGAAATATTTGGAATTCCTAAAATTGTCACACAAGAAATGCATATGCGGATTTTAAGAAAATTGATATTAAAGTAGTTAGAATGAACCGAAAATTCTGAAAATCAATAGGGTTCTAAGTTAGAAGTAATTATTCAAGAAAATCAAAACCGCAAATCAATCAGAACTTTCGTTCTAGATTTATCGTGCCGGCATACATACATACAGTCGACCAGACGAAAATTTTTTTTTTACATTTTCGGACTCAGAATGATCGGAAACATGAAAAAAAGATAAACAATCGTATAAGATTGTCCCCCTTTCCTCTACACTCCATACTTGCTTGAATTTTTTTTTTGCAAGTCGGCAACAAGGTCGCTTTAGCTTGGTGACCACATCTGTCGTGCAATAGCCGTACAACTTGGATGGTTGCTTAAAACCTTTACAAGTGCCCTACACTAAAATCGTAAAATTTCATAAATTGAGGATTAGGTCCCTTATTTCCCCGAGAATTTTATTGTTAAAACTTCAAAATTACTTGAAACGTGTGATTTTATTTTTGCTGAATTAATAATTGTGATGAATAAACATGAAGGAGATTTCGAGAAAAGAGGAGAATAAATATGATTTTAATACTTGTTTGGAAAACTGTTTATTAGCTCTAGACCATGATTTCCCTTCCAAGATCATCCCAGGAAGTGGTTTTTAAACGACTGATGCTTATGTAAAGCGTACCATAAATAAGCCCACAACAGATGACGAAAATAATTAACAAAATGTTAGAATAAACAAGTGTTAGAATAAAAATCATGTTAATCTATTTAAAATTTAGACGCACCAGAATCTGTATAAAACAGATTTTGATCGCAGGTTAGAATTCTGTTTATGGTTTTTGGAAAAAAGAAAAAACAGGAAAAGACGAACAATTTTTCGGTCAAATACTATTTACTGCTGAATCTACTTTCCATTATAACGGATTTGTGAATGGACATAATTTTCATTACTGCAGCACCGAAAATAAACAAGAATTTCGAACTGTAGATCAACAAAACCGATGGTCGTTAAACGATTATGGTGGAATGATAGGAAGAAAGTTGGTGGGGCCCTACTTTTTGATGGCCATTTAAATGGAAATTTTGTTTTTTAAATTTAAAAAAAATATTTTTGGAACCTTCTGGAGAATATTCCTTTGGATATTAGATGAAAAATGTAGCTGCAGCTAGATGGTGCTCCCTCCCATTTTTCGCATAACGTCAGGACATATTTAATCCAAATATTTCCTGAAAAATGGACTTGATTTAACCCCTCTAGATTTTTTTTCGTATGGGGATATGTTAATAATGTAGTTTATCAAACTCAGCCGATCACCGCCGAAGATATGAAAACACGCATTCGTGATGCGTTTGCTATTATTAATTTAAAGATTTTAAGTAATGTAAAAAAAATTGAAAAGCAAATCAAATGTGCATTTACAATAAAGAACATTATTTTAAACATTTATTGTAAATTTTAAATTTATTGACAAATTTTTATTTTTAATGGATTTATTAAAATAAAACTATTAGTAGATGTTTGAAATTTATTGATTCATTGAAACTATTGATAATAGGTTTAAAAATAATAGATATGGGAACCTTATAGAACTTTTAAAGTAAACAAAATTTCCTTCATATTGGTACTATAAAATACAGGCTATTCCATTTAAATTGACGCAGTAATTAAATATTTTACTGCAATAAAACTTGATTTGATAAAAAGTTACAACATTTTGTAAGGAACTGCCAAAAATTCGTTAATTAATTATTTTGTAATCAATAGTTAATTTCGACAGCACTACATTTTCAAAAAATGTCAAATCGGAAATTATCATAGATAGACAAACTAAGATTATTTTTAACAGTTGAACTTAAAATTAAAAGAAAAAATAGGATGTCCCATTTAAAAAAAAACTTTATATTGATATTCTCGTTTGGATGAAAATAATTTTAATTTGTAGACGCCGTTGAGTTGTATATTTGTGCTAATGGAATTTTTAATATCGTTTGTAGTTTAACCCACCAAACACCGTCCCGTTGAGCGTGGCACACCCTGTATGAAGGGAATATTTTTTTAATCTATCTAGTGATGCTTGCTATCTACATTTATACACTTATTTTAACATTTCATTCTCATGTAACAATTCGCTAAATAAAATGTTGATCATCTGCTAGCGAGGGGTAAACCTCAGGTCATAATTTGTGCGTCTTTACTATCAAATTCTTTCAATTCCCGTCAATTCTCACAATACTCGGATAATCCCAATTTCCTCGCAATTCTTTTAAACTTATAAATTCTTCGCAATTCTTGTACACCTAATTCCCTTTGCGGTGGTACACCTGTCGTCCAGCAGAGGGTTACATTTTCTTGAAACCCTCTTTTTAAGTGTATTGGTGCTGTGGCTCTAAAGTTATAAGGGTAATCTGTGAATCCAAAGCTTGTCGCAATCGTAACACACTTTTTAAAACAGTTGTTTCTGCTTTATTCGCGGATCTGGCTTCTTTAAACCTTTAAGGTTTTCAACAGTTTTAGCAGGATAATCTGAGGAATTCTATTATATTCGAAATGGGATCTGTTAGATTTTTACTTCAATAAAGTTTTTTTTTTCAGAGAGCAACTGATAGATCTTGGAAACAGGTGTACATCGTCCTGAAAGGTCCAAAATTATACCTCTACAGAGACAGGCATCACCATCAGGTAAGCGTAAATATATTCTAATGCACAAAAGTAGTTCAATTGCACTGTTACGTAAATGAATAATTATTAAAACCTTTATATAAAGGAGATACATTAAACACTTTAATGATCATTTCGATTTGTGCTACATTTTATTTGCAAACGTTCAAACGTACGAAAAATACTGAGTGTTAGTTTGATGGAGGCCAATGTGCATACAATGTGAAGAGCGAAACCGACATTTCGAAATAAAATAACTCGACAGCAGGTGTTTATCAGGATATTTGTTTTTTTTACAACTAGTTGAGAATCAGTTAATTGTTAATTATACTCGTTCAGTTCAATACGTAGTTATAACGTCGCGACGTGTTCTTCAAAAATGAATTCGTCAACTGTAATTTACACATCTAGCCATTGATAAAAGTGTACGTGTTTTGAAGGCAAGACTCAAATCATTCCATCTCTAAATCGGAGTGAGAAAACCGATTATGCTGGCTTAACACGGCAAACATCCATTGGCGTAGAAGTATCAGTCGTAAAGGGAAATATTTAATAATTATTAATTTTCTCAGTAAATATTTAATATATCGATTTTTGTTATTCTTAAATATTATTTTAGCAGTTATTCATTGTATTCTAAAAGAAAGGAAGCCGGTTGTTGTTGGCTGTAGGATACGGCCTGTATCTCAGAAACTATGCGCCATAGAATTTGGGGAAAAAGTTGTCAACGTACCTATAAGTGGTTAAGAGAAATCGATGAAAATTATTTTCGAGTTTCTAACTTCACCGCTAGATTTTAAAATACGTATGAATGATAAACGAGTAAATAATCAAAACTGAGTAAAATTTTATTTCCGAATATGATTTTGATATGTTCTACATAACTTTGACTTTTTTGTAAACGAGTTTCTTTCAGTGATAATGAGCGTTGCGCCCTAGCTGTGAATTAGGAAATAATTTCCAGCGATTACTATGAAAGACTTTTGGTAAAAAAAAAACATTACAATAAGTTGTTCTGTAGATATGGCCGGCGTCCTTTCTTATTTGGACTCCCAGTAACTACTATGTACACTGTACACTGACTATATTGAATTAAGATTTTTATATGTTATTCGTGAAATCAGTACCTACAGGTGTTGTTATATTTTAACTCACTATTTATTATTGAAAATATGAATAATTTACAAAATACTTAACTCACTTCTCATCAACTCCCTATGAATCACCTACCTCTGCAAAAATAATTTAAAAAAATAATTTATAAAAGCAATTTTTAAAAACCGACTTCAAAATCGTACAGATGCCCTTTTTTTTCTCTCTTTATTGGCAATGAACATTAGTCCTTCAGCCACACACAAATTGAAAGGTATTACGTTTAAATATTAGATATTAATATTATTTTTACATAATCTACCAATAAATCGTACACAGATTGATTTCCAGTCGCGAGCAACACCTTAACACACGTAGGAAACTGAATACCTGCTTTCATAAGACCATCCCACAGGTCATTATTACAAAAACTCTTACAGCCGAAAAATATGTGATCGAGATCTGCGACCTCGTTATCAAGATAACATAGTGGAGACTCTGTCAGTCCTATTTTATATAAATGAGACGGAAAGTACCAATGGTTAATTTTCAATTTCAATTGTGCAGTACTTTTTATTAACTTTGTCATTGAATATATGTGATATGTTATTTGGCAACTCCTTGTAGATAGAAAAATATGAACTATTTGAATTTTTTGTTATTTCTCTCCAATATTTATTCCAATCTCTGTAAATACTATCTTTATATTTACCTTAAAGATCTTTGTAACAAGGATTTTTTAAAAGATTATTGCATACCCTTGCTTCTTTTGCAGCCTTACCAACTAACTCATTTCCATAGATGCCACTATGTCCTTTCGTCCATATAAATATAATTTTAACCTTTTTAACTTCTAACTGATTAAGCAAATTTTTTATCTTACATATAATAAAATTATCAAAATGTCTTGTTATATTTTTTATGCTTTCTAACACCGATTTTGAGTCAGATAATATTATTGCACTTTGTACTTTGTTTTCCGCACACCACTCCAAAGCTTTATGTATAGCGACAGCTTCAGCTGTAAAAATGCTACAAATCTCTGGTAATTGAAATTTACACATTTCTTTATTATTTTCTATATAGAAGGCACTACCGACTCCTTTCAGATTTTTACTTCCATCTGTGTAAATTATTGTATTTACTTTATAACTGCTAATTGCAGAAAGTAATAAAGTTTTATTATAGGAGGGTAATTCATTATAGTTCGGAAATATGACGGTGGACTTTGAAAAATGGATTCGTAGCTATGTTTAAACACAGGTAAATTTTGTTGTTTCAATAAATTGACTAAATTCATGGTTTCAAGAAAAGCAGTTGGCAATAAAGGTGAGTTTTTTATTCTCCAGTAGCGGTTTGTTAAAATTTGTGTGTTCAAGTTACTGATTTTAAGCATTAAGGACGAATTATATGTGCTCAACTTAGTAATATAATTGTTAGCGATTAATTGTCGCCTAAAACGTAAGGGTGGTTCATTTGCTTCCGCCAGAATTGCATTAGTAGGAGAAGATTTCATTGCTCCGATACAAAGTCTTATTGCTTTGTATTGTATACGATCAACTTTTTTTAAATTTGTGTTTGATGATGATCCGTAAAAAACACAGTCGCAGTCAATAATAGCTCTGATAAATGCTATTTGTGGGGCAGCGCCCCAAGATTTTTTGGGGCGAAGAATGTTTAACCCTTTTTCACATCTGTTTCTTAAATATTCGATATGGCTCGTCCAAAGCAGTTTTGGATCTAATACCATACCGAGATATTTATATTCAGTGACAATGGGTATCTTTAAATCTAATAACTGTATATGTGTACTTGTACATTGACGGTGTCTTGTAAAGCACATAAAACCAGATTTTTCCGGCGACATTGTGAAACCCATTTCAAATAACCACTCTTTTACTATATGTAATACACTGATAAAATCATTTAAGCATTGCTCATATTTCCTACGACTGGTATATATACAGATATCATTACAGATGCCCTTAAAAATGGAGTTTTTTGATTTTTTTCATAGATCATCAGATCCTTACCAATTGTATATGGGTCCACCACTGAGGTATCCCCTTTCTAATAAAAAAAGAATCATAGAAATTGAACAACGTGGTAAAGAATACATAAAAAATTAAGAGTTTGATGATTTTCTCATAGACCCCATTATTAGATCTTGATCAAATTTATATGGGACCACCCTTGAGGTACCCCCGAATCATAAAAATCGGACATAGTTGTAAATAATTATGGCTACTTGTCAGATTCTTTACAATTATAATTAAAACTAAACATTTTTAAAGTAAATCGTTACCTATAAATATACAAATAAATTACTGCACCTAAATAAGTTTCGAATTAATTTTTGTGCGCCTATGAGGTCCATAACAACATTCATATTCATAACCTAAGAAATCAACTTACCTGTGGAACGAAATATTAACGTGTAAATAGTCCGTTTTTTTACAAACAAAACACTGTTGAACCATGTTGATAAAAATTATGCCCTATTTACTCACATAAATAATTAAACCAACTCAGAAAACACAAAGCACTTTTATGAATGAAACAAATTTACGACCCTCTCTACAAATATCGTTAAACGTACATGCGGTGTTTTCAGACAAAATTTCTTTCGATAATTTAAAAACAAACAGTATTGCAAGCTAATGTATTTACATTACTACTGTTAAAAACACCGTAAACTTGGCATCAATGTTCAGTCATAATATTGTATTTCTGCCAAGGACGCCAACTTGTTGGTTTAAGAAATTTTGTAAATAATCCTATCTGTCTTGGTTATATATCTATGGTGTTTTAGAACTGTAATCGACAGTCCAGTTAGAACCAAATCAAACCCAATAATACTCTCAAAAAGTAGTTCATGTATATGCATAGTAATTCTACTAAAATGTTATGGTATAAAAAATTTACATAATGATATTCTAACGTTTCGGCCAATTTACTCTAATCCAAATTAGACATTTTTTTATTTTATTTTGCACAAACGAACGTGCTAAAATTAGAATTATGCAAGTAAAATTCCATAATTATTTATCGTGCAGAGGTCCTATCCTGTTAGAGGTCCATAAATTATCACAATCAAAAGTTGTTTGAATAGGATTCGGTTCCCAAATAGATTTTGTATATTTTGTTTACAGAGAAATCAAAATGTAAACACAATTTATTACCTTTAGGAATAGCGATATCTGATTTTCAGATTACATGTTATATCAATTAAAATTGATATTGGTTTTATTAACCATACCTATTATGTTTAAAGTTAATGTACTTGTTTCTATCGTTAATGAGTTGTTAATTAACAAAACCTTATTTCATGCTATCTCTATTACAACATAAAATAACTTCCTTTTGGCATCAACAATTGCGGATTAAGACAAATAAAATAGTGTATGTCTTTAAATAACCTTCGTTTCGAAGACAATATGGTCTTCTTTGTCAAGGTGTAATATTTCTATGCACAAAAAACATTTAACATAAATTTAAACAATGATTTCACTTTTATTACATGTAGTAATAATAATTGAAGAATGGCTAGTTTTGGAAATACTGCAGAAATATAAATTGTTCTTTAAACTTTCCAAACGCCAAACGTTACTAGGGTAGCCTACTATTTGTTTGAGTCAGAGATAACAGAGTATTTTTGGCGATAATATCTAAAATGGCGTCTTCTGCGTTTGCATAAACACTGCATTCTTCCACTTTTTTTAAGTGAACGGCTACTCGCTTCTGATCAGGTATTTGGATGTCACATTTTCGGATGGTCTATTTTAGAAACATTTTTTTTTATCATTTAATATCTCGAACCGGCAAAATAATCATTGCAAGAAAATATCCTACATTCGTGGTCTATAAATTCGTAAATACTAAGCAGCTCTAGTGTGAACAATATTTAGCAATAATGATAAAACTGGAAG